GATGCCTCGATATTGAGGGTCCCACACCGATGAGGATCTCTCAATATCGAGGGTCCCACAGTGATGAGGATGTCTCCATTGAAGATTCTAACTTATAATTAAGAAAACTGTATTTAATCAAGTCAAGTCCCCACTTCCAGTGAGAGCTTATTTCAGATAACCCCGCTCCATAAAACGCTCATCCTACTCATTACTAATACCCCATATTTAATGAATAAAGCTAATTCAATTCAATTCATTCAATTTAATTTATATTTATACAAACAATCCACACCCAATGAAGCCTTAGTTGATATATCCATCACCTCTTCCCACATTCCATAGGTCTGAGGTATGCCTATTTGATTATATTAGATTCCTGTTTTTCTTTTAAGTAAGTCAATATACAATTAAAAAATGGACAAAAATATAAAACAGCAACATACTATATTCACTTTCTCTTTGCAAGTTAAAGTTCCAACCATCCTTTTTCCGGCATATCCAGTGGTTCCTGAGAAGGTGCTGTTTTTTTTTTTGTAAAATAATCAGACTGCTACTGTCCATTCATTTCAATTCTCCTTTCTGCACCGTGTTACATATTGACCCTCAGTCTTTGCATAATTCTCACATTTCATTGAGCGTACATTACCCCACAGTGACTTATTATCGATGTCACAGTCAATGGGTATGGCTGCTGTTTCCCTTCTTACAATTTCTTCCCATGTTTTTGCTAAGAAAGATGCCAAGTCAACCAGCTCACCAAAACTGAGGGTTTCTGCCACTGAACTCTTCTGATGTATTCAGCTTCCCAAGCTAAAGGGTAACATTTACCTCTCTTTCCCACAAGAGAAATTAAAAACCCTGCCGAACTCCAGAACCCGTCGTAGAGATTTGTATGAGAAGCAACACCTATTCAGGCCAATGAGGGAAATTTCTAAATGCAGTGCTCCATTTTTAACTCGGTCAATTTGTTCACATCAGAAATACCTCCCACTTTGGGAATTTTTTTCTACAGTTGTTATTCCACTTTAGTACTTCCAAACTGGCAGCTGGCCTTGCTTGGGTGCCTGACTCCATTTCTGACCTTGCAATTCCTCCGTTTCAAGTTTTGAGAGCTGCTGCATCTTTTTGTGAAGGCCTGCTTTGATTAAACCGCAATAGGCCTAACAATTTACAAATAAGGTTACTGACTGACGCTCGTTCCATTCTGCCTGACTTCCAATCCAATGGACTTAAAAGCCCTGGCAGCCCGTCTTCAATTTTGAATTCTGCCTTAAGCCCAATTAGTTCGACATTTTCGAGTTCACTGCTCCCACCCCATGAATAAAATCATCTGCATGCATCATAAAGATGCCTGAAAGCCGCTCTGATGGTGCCAGTAAAACACGCAGGGTCTGTTGTTAACTGAAGACAGGCCAATTTTAATAAGACAAATCTTACTGAGAAGTACTAAACTCGAGAGACATCATTTCGGCCTTGTACACATTTATTTAACTTGCAAAGTGTCTCCACAGTGTCTTTTGGAAGACGAGGACGCACTTCCTTCATGAGCTAATCTTCCTGCAGAAATCCAGTTTTAATATCAATTGAGCAATGCTCTCAAACATTGTAGCACTGGAGCCAAGAGCATTTTCAAAATGTTTTTTTCCTGCTGTCAGTGAATCTACACTTATATAATGATGCCCCCGTTTTTCTTCAAAACCATATGCCAGAAGTCACCTTTTCTGTGCACATCTATCTGGTAGGACTGGCTGTCCCCTATTGGGGACTCTATATATATCCTAATCCTCTCCATCTTAGGCATTGAGTCACAGAATCATACAGCACAGAAACAGACCATTCAGTCCAACAAGTCCACGCTGACCAGATATCCTGTATAAATCCAGTCCCATTTGCCAGCATATGCCCCATATCCCCCTAAACACTTCCTATTCACATAGCCACCCAGATGCCTTTTAAATGTTGTAATTGTACCAGTGTCCGTCACCTCCTCTGGCAGCTCATACACGCACCACCCTCTGTGTGAAAAAAAATTGCCCCTCAGGCCCCTTTTAAATATTTCCCCTCTCACCTTAAACCTATGCCCTCTAATTTTGGACTCCCCCCACCCTGGGAAGAAGACCTTGGTTTTTCGCCCTATCCATGCAACTCATGATTACCCCTCATCTTTTATTAACTCCTCTTATACTTTGTTTGTGGCCAATAAGACTTCTTGATGTGCTTCTGGTCCTGGTGGCATTCTGTGGTTCGCAGTATATTTCTTGTCCTTGTTAAACTACACCCTGTATCTTACCTTCTGTCTCTTTCTGAACTGCTAGTGTTTTACCTCCACCTGCTTTTAACAAGATTCCTTTCAGGAATTTTTTTTCTAGGAGCATACTTGCTCCTGGACCACTGTTTTCTTGCCTTCCATCTTTGTACTTTGTGTTTCCAATCCGTAGGCACAGTCACACGTCCCTCATCCTTTAAATCACCCAGCTTTCATACTTTGCAATGACCTTCCTTGCTGTACTTATAATGGTTGCATTTCTCCGTTCACTAACCCCTTCTGTTAAATACTTGACTCTGGTACCCACTCTTTTTTCATTCGGGACAAATGGACTCAGATTGACCATCAGAACTGTTTCAGAGATAGTAGGAACTGCAGATGCTGGAGAATCTGAGATAACAAGGTGTAGAGCTGGATGAACACAGCAGGCCAAGCAGCATCAGAGGAGCAGGAAGGCTGATGTTTCGGGCCTAGA